GGAATGTTCAACTGCAACACTCCCCACACACACATACACAGTATCTATACACACTTGTTACAATGAAGGCTCGATAATCAGCTCACGGCATATAGGTGTAAGCAGGGGTAAAGTGCTATTTTTATAAGTGGGGGTTGGACCTAATATCCTCTATTGAAGTTAAATGGATCAATCTGGTGCACTTTGAAAGCAAAATTAAGAGATCTATCTCTCAATAGTCAACACCCATATGAAACAGAACTGTAAACAGATTTACTTTATATATTTTACAAATCACTCCCCTTTCAAACTGTTTTCTTGTTTTACTGTCATATAGTATTTCATAACTGTTTTTCATTTATTCTCTTATTGTTTTATAACTATAATGATCATATGAAGGTGTGCCTCGGAAATAATTGTTTACATAAATCTGGACCAAACCGTTTGAGACCCACTGAGATAACTTAGACCAAAGTTAACTATCTAAACACTCAGAGTCCTTTAGCTCACCTGAGTCCCTCAGTCTGACAGGAGAGGACATTCCCTTCACCTTGTTGTAGAAACAGCTCCTTATATCCGTTAGTGCAGCTAGCTAAACAGATGCTAACAACACAGTCCCTGGCACCGGTGTGCTCTCTCTCTCGTTCGCTTAATCACACTAAATGCGCGCCCCACACACACACACAGAGCCGAGCTTGGATGAAACACAGAGACCCAAAATAACTTGTTCTGTACTGTGGCATATTATTTTCGAATCAATCATTTTTCAAATTATGAATTTCACACGTAAAAATTAAAAAAGACACATACATTTCTTGGGGGTGCTTGGGGGGTGTTATGGCTATCCTAGGGGGAGCTTCAGCACCGCCAATGACGGACATACACAACCACTCAGAAGCGCCACATGTAGGCTATCAACAACAGCCTGCCCTCGCGTCAAACCACCACAGCCTGACAACGGCACAGCGAACTAAGAAGAGGATTACACCTGTTGCCTTGATGTTTATCTCTGGGGAATGGGCCGGTAGGCCTACATGGACCGGTTGCTATAATATAGCTTTTGATCTTGGCGTCGGGGGTCTCAATAGCGCCATAGAGTCCCCTATCGGTTGGGGCCCTTGGGGGAACTGTTGGACCACCGGCGGGCACAGCCAAATCTAGCCTCTCCTCCTGGCTGGCTGAAGAAGAAGGTTGCACAGCCACGGATACAGCTTCACTTGTGGAGCTAGATGGCAATGATGGTGGTGAGGCAGGTGAGCTATCGTTAGCCTCTGGCTCCGGCTGACGCTGCACGTCAACATTGCTAACGTTAGCGCTCGATTTCGAGGACGATGTATGACAAAAATAAACTGTTTTCGTCAGTTTAGCTGTTACATCTCCTTGTTCTCTCTTGTCCTTTCTCTTTTGAGCGCCGCTCCTGTGCTTTGGTTTGCTGTACATTATAAATGCAAGCTATTACATTTTTTATAATACTGTCGAACTTGCTGCTGCTAGCTACAGTACAGTTCAGGTTGATTAAACGGTTCGCTCGTCACGCAAGGTATCACATGACATGAAAGGGAGCAAGGTCATTGGACAGACAAATTACAAATTAATTTAGGTTGCTTGGTTACTTTGAAGATTGCGTGAACCGATCAATGCCATTCGGGCCCCAAAAATGAATAAATTAAAACAAATATTATTTTTTTTAATGTTTTTTGCATGGGCACGGCTGCATGGGCACGGCTGTCGTAACTATTGACGGTGCAACGCCCAGAGCCGGCCAGGGGCCCATGCACAAAAAAAAAAGGATATTTTTTTTATTAATATTTTGGGGGGCCCCAATGACATTGACCGGTTCACAGTACAGACAGCCCAGTAACTGAGCTGCTGCTGGGAAAGCAGCTGCCGACCGGCCCCGAGAGTCTCGGGACCTACCCCACCGTCCTCCGGAGCCCCCTGGGGGGCGCCGGTAAGGCTCTGAGGCATGAGAAGGCCGGCAGCACGAAAGCCCCCGGGAGGTGGATGAGTGGGCCGCTGGGACCTGTGCAGACCACCACTGTAAGCTGGTGGCTGAGAGCGGCTGCTAGAGGGGCCCCTGGGCCGGCTGGGAGTGGGCACAGGCCTATAAAGACCCGAGAGCTGCTGCCTGGTCTGCCTAGCTTGGGCAGCACGCTCCAGTGCCTACAGGGTAGCTGCCCCAAACAGCTACCCTGGCTCGACTGGCACACTACGGAGGACATGTCTCCGACAGTGGTGACTGAGCAGGCCAAACCTGGCGACGAGTCTGCACCAATAAGGACATAACTCGTCCCAATTCCCTAGACATTAGGGCAAAGGCTTACAGTGATGCATCACTGAGGCCCAGCAAAGAAGGCTCAGCCGGAGCCTGCTGCAGAGAGGTAGAGACAGCCAGTATCAGATGGGAGAGGGAGTTCCAGTGCCGCTGTGTCGTAGGCCCTACAGAGCAGCTCGTTTGTGACGCTGCACTGAGGCCGAGGGCACCTGGCATCAGGAGCCAGAATCGGGGAGGCGATGGCAGGCTCAATGGATGGCAAGCGACCCAGCCCCACACTCGCCGGATCCTGCATGGCAGCAGAGTGGGAGAGGGCCCTGGTGTCTCTCCAGCATGCATGGAGCTCCCTCAGGTACTCCTCTGAAGGAGGAACAGTGGGAGTGAAAAGGGGCAGGGTTATGCCTGAAGAAGGCGCTAGCCTGAGCCGAGTCGGCCTGCGGAACCTGAAGCTGCAAGCATACCAGGGCCGCACGAATAATGGCCGCCATGGAGGCGTCCTCCGTGCCCTGCAGAGAGCTCTGAGCAGAGGAGTGGGAAGCCTCCTCGGGGGTGAGCGGGGCCTTGTCCCCCCCCTTCATAGAAGAGGTTTAGCCGGAGCCGCTAGCGACATGGCATCCTCAAGCAGAGGTGTGGCAACCGAAGGAGGGCCAGGCGGCAAGCTAGTAGCCCCCACACTGGCCCCTGGCTGAAGGGCCAACAGGAGCGACTTCGTCTGCTCCATGACGGCAGCTAACCGACCCACCTTAGAGGACAGCCTGTTTCTAGCCCTCTACCTGGGGGGTGAACCCATAGCCATCACTCCATCAAGTCGCCGGGAACGGCCAGACTGAGCTGGAGGAAGTTGTGACGAGGAGAGGTACCACCTCTGCGACTCTAGCCACTCTGAGCGCCCGAGGCATGAATCTACAGCTCATGCAGGCGCTTTGCGTGAGACCCTCCCTCAAATGCTCGAGGCCAAAGCAGAGGGGGGCAGCGGTCATGGCCGTCCTCGGGCTCAAGAGAAGCCATACAGGCGCTACATGAATGAGCCAGTCTGTAGGTAGCCAGATGCAGTGTAGCCGGGAGCGGGTGCGAGAAAACAGCCTTCCCCAGCTACCTGCTGAACGGAAAGAGTAGAGCAATGCTCCTACTCGCCGAACACAGAGAGGGATGTGAATGACCTACACCCACGTTACTAGCAGAGGGAGCGGGAGCGAGAGCACTGCCTTCACCTAGCTGGATTAAATAAAGAAGCTTAACGGGGCAGTTTAGCCAGGCGGCTGCTGCTAAGAATCAAGCAGCACGTCTACCAGGAGCGGGGGCGAAAAACACTGCCTTCACTGGACGAGTTAAACAATGAAGCTCAACAGAACACGCCAGATGTTAGCCAAGCGGCCGCTGCTAACAATCAGAGCAATACGTTACAGGGAGCGGGAGCGAGAGCACTGCCTTCACCAGCTGAGTTTAAATAAAGAAGCTTTAACAAAACATGCAAGATGTTAGCCAAGCGGCTGCTGCTAACAATCAAAACAATACGTTAGCGAGAGCACTGCCTTCACCAGCTGAGTTAAATAATGAAGCTTAACAGTACACGCAAGACGTTAGCCAAGCGGCTGCTGCTAACAATCAAGCGAGATCAAGTCAAATAACAGAAATGTTTAAGACCAGATAACTAGCTTCTGAAGAAGAGAACAGCACAGAGCCGTAGTTACAGTAGTAACCATGGCCAGTGCTTACACGGCATAGAACCGTAGTTACAGTAGTAACTATGCTACTGTAACTAGGGCCAGTACTTACCTTACTCTCTGCATCTAAACAAAAAACGGGCAAAATATGGCACCCTGGGCTTTCCATACTAAATTGAATGAGAGACGCAGCTAAAGCTGGAAACTCAAATGCTAATGATAGCTCGGGCACACCGCCACAAGCAGAATTTCAAAAGAGCATAATAAGGGCAACTTTATGGGAGAGGAAGCGGGAACACTGTCGTCACCAGAAAGTCTAAGCCAAACAATAAATAATACAGCAATCAGGACAACTTAGCTGGGAGAGGGTGCGGGGACACAACCATCACCAGCAACAAGTTGACACAAACCTGTCCGTCGAGGCTGCACAGCGCACAGCCGGCCACAGCTCCTGGAGGACGCGTTAACAACCCGTAGCTCCGACTGTCAGTCGCGAAGCACGCGGCCAGCTGTATGCAGAGAAATCCCTCAGATCAAATGTTCAAACCTGAACGCTGTAGGCTACAAGAATGTAGCCGCGGTACTCTCGCGAAGCGAGAAGATGAAAAGGAGCCGATCCACTAATGACGCCGGCCTATGTAGCCGTCGTCACGTGGGTCACAGGTGACTTTGTTGTTATTAGGTACTCGAACTGCGCATGCGTGCGATGGACATATCCAGTGCTAAAGCACCGCCTCTGGCGGTCAGTAGGGACGAAATAGAACCCTTACTTTACCCTTGACTCCCTCCTTGTCATGTAACCTGAGACAGAGACCAAATTATTATGTGAAAGATGTTACCTTTCGACTCTTATTATATTAGAGCAACATCCCCTCCTTTAAACACCTGTTACTATTTCAACAACTTCTACTATATCAGCCAGCAGGTCACAAGTTACCTAACTGTCTGAATAGTGGTTACAGCTCTGAGCATGCAGTCTCTTTCACATCACTCCCCAACAGGATCAATCAGTTCAATCTGTTTGGTACCCTTTGGTTGTCAGCATAAAAACATCAGATCGGAAATAAAATGGTTTTACTCACCGTTTGTCACTGTGGCCTGTGAGATTTTCTGTTGGTGTTGTCCTGACAAGGTGAATTTCACTTGTGCCCCCTCAGGTCCATAGCCCCAAATTACAGCTCTCTCTGGAGACTTCTGCAGCACCATGTGGTCTTGATAGTAGGAGGCGAAGCGCAGGACCCCATCTACACACATAAACATTAATATGCGAGTGCAGAATAATTAAAACAACAATACATAAAGAAGGGATTTTGGAGATAGTGTAAGTATGCAAATATGCCTTTTTGTTTCTGTTTGAAAATAATAACGCAGTAACATTTCGACACGGCAAGAAGTAGGCCTGTCACGATAATTAATTTTGTTGGACGATACATTTTCCTGGAAATTATTGCGATAAACGATAATGATGTCGGCACTGTTGTAAGACCATTTTAGACCACTGACATAATGATAATATATAATAATAATTCAAAGTACATCCTTTCAAACAGAACTTTGTATTGAACATTCAACATTGCAAATGAAATGTGAAATAATATTCAAATATATAAATTATATATAATAAATAAAACAAATTAATTAAATTATAATAAATTAATTAAATCACACACAACCAAAACAATACATTAAATAGACTCATGCTGGAAAACAGAGCTCTCTCTATCTATCTATCTATATACATATATATAAATAAATAAATATGAGCACACATTGTCTCACAAGCAAAAAAAACCCTCCTTAAAACAGTCAAGTGTACAGTCCACTGTCCATACAGAGACCCAGATGCCTCAACAGGCCATATTCAAATCTGTTTTTCAAAGTTTTCGAGCAAGGAACACCAACATGTTTGCATTGTCGGGCAAATGCATCTTTGATTGTAAACTGTCGGGAAGGTGGATCTCCATCTCCAGCTGCCGTATTTGCTCCATAGACTGTATATAAAGGTTTGCTCCCAGCTGGAAAAACGGAATGGGGTGGACATGGTTATGTTTTAGGTGTAGTTTAATATTTGTGGTATTGCCTGCTTTTGTCGCTACCTTTTTTAAACAAATGCGACACACCGGCTCATTCAAATCCAGGGACGTGCACAGGTAGGGGCTAATGTTGCCAGGGCAACGGCCCGTTTGGCCTTTTTGGCTGACCTGTTTTTATTTTTTCTGTTGTGGTCGAATCATGGCAGTTAGGGTATAAGGGACAAACCAGGGGACTTTACTTCCTCTTGATACCGTCGGTTATTTACAAAAAAACACCTAAATATAGCCTACTTGTTGTTATTGTGCTTCTGTCTTTCTGTGTCTTTTCATCTGTAAACTAAACTCCCACAACGGGCCGCTCGCTCTCTTTTCTTGATCGCCCTTTCACGGGTGAACAGTTCACTGTCCCGCTTCATTGTAGGATTTCTGCCATCTCTACCACTTTAGTTTGACCATCTCTGTTATTAAGTTATGGAATACTAAATAAATAAGTAATTAGATACCTTACCGTTACTGCGCTCATAAAGAATGATAAGAATAAGAATAATGCGTATTGAACTGGTTTCATTAATTAGTGAGTTTATTTAAGGTAATTAGTTAGAGGCCCTATTTTATCAGTATGTATGTCTGCACAGCAGTTACAATGGTCAAACTACATTAGAACAGAATTGTCCCCATTGTGTCTTTAATAGTTACTAACATTAGATATTTTTGATGAGATATGGACCGCAAAAAAAAAATGCCCCTGGTTTTCATTTTTTAAATCAAGTTACCGAATGCAAGTAGTCGCCTTAGCTTATTTTGTTATGAGATGTGAATTACTGTTCAATTTAGTTGATGTAATAATCGTTTGGTTTCTTTTACATTAAAAACAAGTTACGATTTTCAAAAGGTCTTGTGTTTTTTATCGGGGGGAGGCCCTTTTTCCAGTTTAGAGCAATAGCCTGTCTGTCTGTGCACGTCCCTGTTCAAATCCGTAGGTTGGCCTCGTTCATTTGGCTTGAATCCAAAATACTGCCACACCGGAGATGTGTAGTTAGGTTTTGTAACCAATTCCATTTCACTTTAAATTCCCCCAGAGTAAGTCACACGTTGTCTCCCGCTTGTCACTATGATATTAATTTGGATGCTACACTGCTGCACGTGCACGCGGAGTGTCTGACTCCTGACCCGGCTGTGTGTCAGCCCCCCCCCCTCACAGCACGCCTGGCTAAAAGGCTGGTCACATCCTTATGTAAAAGGCAATTTATCGAGCTCAGAAAAGTTATCGAGTCCATTTTTATTTATCGTACGATAAGTCAATTTATCGATTATCGCGACAGGCCTAAGTAGGCCTACAGGTTGCCGACCAAACAATACTCACCACAGGCGTGAATAGAAGCTGCAACCAGTATAAAAACACCACAAAGTGTTATCGCCATGACAACAAGATGATTTCCAGGTTAACCAAAAGCTGCAAAGTCACGCAGACTGAGCTTACGTGATGAAGTCTCAAACGCAGTGGCGAGCAGTGACTTTTATACCTAGACCCCTTCCCTCGAAAAAAAAAAGAGTTATTACGTCACAGCGTCCCTGCTGAAAAAAACAGCTTTGACTAACTTAGCTAAGTTGATCAGCCTGGCTGGTTTAGAGGGGGTTTTGGACACTTTAGCTCACCAGCTAAACCAGCTAAACCAGCTAAACCAGCCATCCTGGCCAGCTAAAAAAAACAGCAAAGACCAGCATAGTATGCTGGTATGCTGGGCTGGTCACCAGCATCCATCTATCACCAGCTTATGTTTAATAATAGTATTAAATATACCATGCTGGAAGCTTACCAGGATTCCAGGTGAACAGCATAGGCTACATTGTTTAAACACTGGTATGATTATTTAAACTAGAGAACATAAATATATAACAAAGATTCATTGTGTCATGTATTCTGGTATCTACCAAAATAAAGACATTGTATAGTGTTCATAACAGTATTTAAAATGTAATAATTAAGCAATAGCTCACGACAGGCCGTGGTATATGCTCATTATATCGACAACCCCCTTAGCTGTGATATAATGAGCATATATCACGGCCTGAAGAGAAAAAAACATTGTTAATAATAGTAATGATGGTAACAACAATAATATTAGTATAACTATTTATATAGCACCTACACAATTGCAAAGTGATTCTCTCAAAAATAAAGAACAAAACAATACCAACAATAAAAAAACAAATGATTATAGGAATGTTAAGAGACAAAGAAATGCTAAACATTCTGAGAGGCCAACTACAAAAGCTAGACTGAGCAGTCCCAATACATGCTGTTGTATAAAAAGAAATAGGTCCAGATTTCATCTATTTTGTGTTGGATGATTTGTTTTATTGATTGCTGATGGATGTTAAGATGTGTTTTACAATTATAACAAAAAGATTATTGTAATTGGAATCAAAAAGATAGCAAATCATAGTTTTAATAAAATCACTAGCAATATAGGGTTTATTCAACAGCAGTAAAGCATTAAGTTGCTAAATTAACGTACACTGAACTGTAAAACAACTTTTTAGGAAAGGCTCTGATCAGAAGGGTTGACTAGTAGGACAGCGAAGAGGTGGAGAATGTCTCTGTCATGTACAACCATTGGTAGATGTTACACCTGAAAGAAAGATAAGGAAATAAGACAACACAGGAGGACAAACATTTTCAAAGACCAAATCATGTCAAGCTTTAACCTGAGCCTGTTTTTTCAGTCTCTAAATTCAAACTCAAGACCATAAATAACTGGGTACCAAAGTGCTTTACCTGATAGAACACGTTCCACACGGAGCAGCAACCATCCGGCTGGGCCTTTTGCTGCATATCATCTCCTCCCTCTCTCTCTCTGGTGTTAGGTTCCAGTAGATCTCTACTATCCAATACAACTGAAATAGAAAAAGATAACGTTAAGTTAACTTACTATGGGCATAGATATGTCTCATAATTATTTGTGTGAACATAAAAATAATTTGTGTGTAAATATGTGATTTGTAAATGTAAAACACCATCCACAAATGCATTTAACCCTCCTGTTATATTCGTTTTTTGTAACAGCAATAATATTCGTAGGTCAATTTGACCCAGTGCATGTTTAATTATCCAAAAATGGTCAGAAGCCCCAAAATCCAGATTTTTTTTGGTACATAGTTTGTACCTTTTATTACTATCAATGAAATCAATATTTAGTGCAATTGTGTTATTCACCTCTCACAGATCATGGTTCCATTAGAATAAGTCACTCGTTTTTCACAAAACATATACATTCAAACACATTTTTCTATTTTCTTTTTTACATTGGAAAAACCTTGATATAAAATACATTAGTTTTGCATAACATAACATTTTTTAAATTACTTTTAAAATGTTCCAACTTTTTTTCCAATTGGTAGATGTTGATAAATAGAGACGAGACACCTCTTCTGTTCAGGGTCAAATTGACCTGTTCACTTAGAATCAAGCCACATGAGTCATAAGGATTTGGATTGAAAGTATTTTATTGTAACAGCAATTAAGATCGTGTTGTGTGTGTGTGTGTGTGTGTGTGTGTGGTGTGTGTGTGTGTGTGTGTGTGTGTGTGTGTGTGTGTGTGTGTGTGTGTGTGTGTGTGTGTGTGTGTGTGTGTGTGTGTGTGTGTTCGAGTGGGGTAGTGTGTCCCCTTCTTGTTTCGGTGAAACAATGCAGTTTTGATCACTTTAAAACTAATTAATTTGCTCTGAAAGGCAGAGACTGATCAGAAATGCAGAGGTTACATACAACAAAGAGGTGGTTGTGCAACATTTGTGCAATGTGCAACATTTATGCAATGTGCATTGTTGCAGGGAAAAAGCACATTGCACAAATGTTGCACAACCACCTCTTTGTTGTATGTAACCTCTGCATTTCTGTTCCAGTAACTGTAAAGCTGTCAGCGGTCTCCAAGTCTGACTTCTGATTTACAGTTTTCTGATGTTTTTAATGCTTCCCTGATCTGTACATTAGAGGTGAACTGTGCTTTTAGTGCTGATGAGCTGATCTCCATGTTTGACTCGACATGTACCCTAATATTGGATTCTGTTGCTCCTTTTACGCTTAGACGCAGCAAAGTTCTCAGAGCTGTGGCTCAATGACTGTACTCGTGCTCTCAGACGCACCTGCAGGCGTGCAGAGAGAAAATGGAAAAAGGATAAACTCCATGTCTCCCTAGAAATCCTTTGTGCTTGCCTTTCTGACTACCAGACGGCAGTCAAAGCAGCCAAAACAGAGCACATTTATCTGTTAATCTCCAAAAACAGCCATAAACCTCAGGTTCTTTTTAATGTCCTCAACTCTATTATTAATCCCTGTGATGTTTCTTCTATTGTGCCATCGACTACTGTCTGTGATAACTTTCTTAATTTTTTTATTGGAAAAGTATCTGCACTTAGGCTAGCCCTCACTAATGCTACCCCAGATCCTGCTCCTTTTCTGTGCCCTGCTGTCCTCGACCACTTTGAGCCTATATCCCTCTCTTCTCTCTCGGATGTAGTCAAGCACCTGCGGCCGACAAACTGCACCTCAGACAGCATTCCCTCTCGCCTTCTCAGAGATGTTTTGAATCAGTTGGAGCAAGTATTTCATTACTTATAAACAGGGGTGCACACAACTTTCTCAGTGAGGTACTCAGATGAGTACCTGGAGTCAGTGTTTGGTACTCCAACTTCTGGCGATTGGCGCATTTCCACCATGGTGCTAAATTAACGTACACTGAACTGTAAAACAACTTTTTAGGAAAGGCTCTGATCAGAAGGGTTGACTAGTAGGACAGCGAAGAGGTGGAGAAGGTCATGTCATGTACAACCATTGGTAGATGTTACACCTGAAAGAAAGATAAGGAAATAAGACAACACAGGAGGACAAACATTTTCAAAGACCAAATCATGTCAAGCTTTAACCTGAGCCTGTTTTTTCAGTCTCTAAATTCAAACTCAAGACCATAAATAACTGGGTACCAAAGTGCTTTACCTGATAGAACACGTTCCACACGGAGCAGCAACCATCCGGCTGGGCCTTTTGCTGCATATCATCTCCTCCCTCTCTCTCTCTGGTGTTAGGTTCCAGTAGATCTCTACTATCCAATACAACTGAAATAGAAAAAGATAACGTTAAGTTAACTTACTATGGGCATAGATATGTCTCATAATTATTTGTGTGAACATAAAAATAATTTGTGTGTAAATATGTGATTTGTAAATGTAAAACACCATCCACAAATGCATTTAACCCTCCTGTTATATTCGTTTTTGTAACAGCAATAATATTCGTAGGTCAATTTGACCCAGTGCATGTTTAATTATCCAAAAATGGTCAGAAGCCCCAAATCCAGATTTTTTTTGTACATATTTGTACCTTTTATTACTATCAATGAAATCAATATTTAGTGCAATTGTGTTATTCACCTCTCACAGATCATGGTTCCATTAGAAGTCACTCGTTTTTCACAAAACATATACATTCAAACACATTTTTCTATTTTCTTTTTTACATTGGAAAAACCTTGATATAAAATACATTAGTTTTGCATAACATAACATTTTTTAAATTACTTTTAAAATGTTCCAACTTTTTTTCCAATTGGTAGATGTTGATAAATAGAGACGAGACACCTCTTCTGTTCAGGGTCAAATTGACCTGTTCACTTAGAATCAAGCCACATGAGTCATAAGGATTTGGATTGAAAGTATTTTATTGTAACAGCAATTAAGAACGTGTGTGTGTGTGTGTGTGTGTGTGTGTGTGTGTGTGTGTGTGTTCGAGTGGGGTAGTGTGTCCACTTCTTGTTTCGGTGAAACAATGCAGTTTTGATCACTTTAAAACTAATTAATTTGCTCTGAAAGGCAGAGACTGATCAGAAATGCAGAGGTTACATACAACAAAGAGGTGGTTGTGCAACATTTGTGCAATGTGCAACATTTATGCAATGTGCAAATTGCAGGGAAAAAGCACATTGCACAAATGTTGCACAACCACCTCTTTGTTGTATGTAACCTCTGCATTTCTGTTCCAGTAACTGTAAAGCTGTCAGCGGTCTCCAAGTCTGACTTCTGATTTACAGTTTTCTGATGTTTTTAATGCTTCCCTGATCTGTACATTAGAGGTGAACTGTGCTTTTAGTGCTGATGAGCTGATCTCCATGTTTGACTCGACATGTACCCGAATATTGGATTCTGTTGCTCCTTTTACGCTTAGACGCACCAAAGTTCTCAGAGCTGTGGCTCAATGACTGTACTCGTGCTCTCAGACGCACCTGCAGGCGTGCAGAGAGAAAATGGAAAAAGGATAAACTCCATGTCTCCCTAGAAATCCTTTGTGCTTGCCTTTCTGACTACCAGACGGCAGTCAAAGCAGCCAAAACAGAGCACATTTCTCTGTTAATCTCCAAAAACAGCCATAAACCTCAGGTTCTTTTTAATGTCCTCAACTCTATTATTAATCCCTGTGATGTTTCTTCTATTGTGCCATCGACTACTGTCTGTGATAACTTTCTTAATTTTTTTATTGGAAAAGTATCTGCACTTAGGCTAGCTCACACTAGTGCTACCCCAGATCCTGCTCCTTTTCTGTGCCCTGCTGTCCTCGATCACTTTGAGCCTATATCCCTCTCTTCTCTCTCGGATGTAGTCAAGCACCTGCGGCCGACAAACTGCACCTCAGACAGCATTCCCTCTCGCCTTCTCAGAGATGTTTTCGAATCAGTTGGAGCAAGTATTTCATTACTTATAAACAGGGGTGCACACAACTTTCTCAGTGAGGTACTGTAGTTTTGAGGCGGGACTGGAGTCAGTGTTTGGTACTCCAACTTCTGGCGATTGTCAACGGGGGGGGGGGGGGGGGGGTGGAGTACAGAGCTTCGTGGACCGCGGAGCGTGTGAACGTGTGATCAGCTGTTTTAGCTCAGGGCTGCTGTACAGACCGACGTTAAACAGGCAGCCCTGTCTGTGCACAGCACACCGGAGACGGTGATCTAACCGCCTTCTGGAAAAGCTTCACAAGTACGTCGGTACGCAAATGCGCTTTGTGACACAAGTGACGGTACGCATTTCAGATTGTTGCCGCGCATGCGTACCTGCGTACCAGTTATGTGCACCCCTGCTTATAAACACCTCTCTTAGCTCAGGATGTGTCCCAACTGCCTTCAAACATGCCGTGGTCCAGCCACTACTTAAAAATAAAATTCTCTACCCCTCCATTCTCGCAGATTTTAGGCCCATCTCCCAACTACCTTTTTTATCTAAAGCCCTGGAGCGAGTAGTCTATTGGCGCATTTCCACCATGTCCACCGTGTCGTGCCGGGCCGTTTTTGGTTGCGTATCCACTATGCCTAGTTCCGGCCCGGGGGTACTTTTTCACCTCTTTTCTGGCCCGACAAAATCGTGGTTCTATCGGGGCCAACAAACAGGGCTGAGTCGGGCTGAGTTTGCTAAACTATAGAGAGAATCGCTGGCAAGGGGGCTACAACTACAACAAAATGAACATATTTGACCGTGATTTTAATTGTAATACACGTTTCAAAATGATGCCGAAGTAACAACACACTGATACCGGTTAGTAAAAACCATGAATTAATGCTTTGACAAGTCTGCAGACAGACGGCAGGTGAAACACCTTTTAAAATGCGTGTTTTCTAAATGGAGATTGGCTAAGCTAACGCAATATATGCTCCGACCGTCCACACTCACAACAACGGCCTACACAGACATAAATAAACCAGCGACTGTATTCGCCATGACACAGACAGTCTGTGGTTTGTACTTGTTTAACTTTTGTCTAGTTTCTGAACAGATATGAGGAGCTGTGAGCTTGAGTGCTAACAGCTAACGGCTGTGTTGTTTTTCTGGGGTTCTCATTGAAGATGACGTCACGGCTCCGCCTACACTAATTTACTATAGATACTACCCCAGTTCCTAAACCTTAATGGAAGCGCAGCATAAAGTGAGCCAGTCCTAATGAGGCCAACCTGGTCTCACCAGAATGCGTGACTCCACCACGACTCCTTAACACCGCAGTGCGTGGTGGAGTCACAAACTTTGCTACATTTACGTGTCTGCACCACGCAAACAACCCCAATGTAAAGTGAATGAGGCTCCTTTGTCGTGGTGCACACACGCATTTCTACAACGTCCCGCAGTGAGCTTTTATTCTATAAAACGTTTTTAAGGAAGGCCAGAGCTTCAGCTGTGTCAAATAGATTGTTCCCTTTAGTTAACGTTATTTAAAAGATAATTATATTCCTATTTGATGTCCCCTTTATTGTATTACGGACCCAAAGAGCAATGTGAGCGTCCATTCCCATCTATTTATATGCTTATTTACTAAGTGTGGCATGTCATTTTCTCAATAATTTCCAGAATGAACTTTTAAGACAAGTAAGTTGTGTGCTTAAAGTGCTAATAGCCAAATTAACCCACCATAGCTGTTATGACAATTTTATTTTTGTTTGTAAAGTTACATTCAAAATAAACCTCTTTTTTTTACTTATTGGGAAATCTGCTGAATAAAAAAAGAATACAAGATTTGGTAAATGGCACACTGTTGCATAAATATATAACTGTTGGTAGTGGTACCCTAAATGAAGTTGCAATTACAATTTTGTTTCCAGTTCAACAACAGTAGATTTTTTTTCTACTGTCTCTGTTTTACTGTCATATCAATGTCAATGGCTTTGAATACAACACTACAATACAAACTTAGTTGTTTATTTGACATTTATTTGTTCAAACATTTAGTCATAACGACTGATTTGTGTTGGACACTTCAGAGTTTTGTTCAAATAAAACCTTTGTCATGTTTTTCTACATACATCCAGCAATTTATTTTTGTACTTAACATTCAGTATTTCAATTTGAGACGGACTGATTCAAAAACATCTTTAAAATAAAAGTAAACATATTTCCCACCAGGCTGACAGGTACAACTGCCAAGCTTTCCAACCAAGACCAGATATAACAGCAATAATTTTGTTGCATTATTCTCCATTATTCTCTTTTGATGAGATGACGCATTATAGTTTGGACTCTTTCAGAAAAACTGACCACACTTGTACAATAAATGAGGATGAGCTTTGAATCCAGATGCCATAAATTGAAGACAGTATTTTTCACTTAGTTTTTCTTTTTTTTTTTTTTTTTTTAACCTTTATTTAACCAGATAAAAACATTGAGATAAAATCTCATTTTCAATGCTGACCTGGCCAAGAAGGCAGCAACGTTACACATAACACATAACACAAACATATAAAATACAGAGAACATAACAAAGAAAACAAAAGACGAAAAAGCAGTCACTACATTGTGCACATTAGTAATGTGTTGGATCGGTCACTCCCCCTCTAAGACTAATCAATTAACTTATTGAATACCAAAAGTAATTGTCTAGTCATAAACCATTAAAAAAAAAACCTCCTTCCCTCTAAAATAATCCTTGATATCTGTAAAAAAAACTAAGAATATAAGACAAGTCCACAATCCACTATCGTGTCATATTGTTTTCAGCTCCTTACTTTCACAGTCTCAATCATCCTGTTTAAAGTCATTCATTTGCCTAATTCCACTTCATTGAGAGATCAGCTTATGTTGACTTGAACAAAGGCAGACTGTTCATTATTTGGTCTTCTTGTTCATTGATTACTTTGGCTGGTAAAAGGAGGAGCAGGTAAAATCTTACTGGCGCTGTAGATTGGACAGGCTTTAAAGTCACAGGGCCAGTTTCTCCATGCATACCGCAGAGCAGCTACTTGTTCAGTGGGAGAACACAAGCTGGTAGATAACTGGACAGTGGTCGGACCCCACTCCATGATGGGAGCTAGAACCCAATGAGCCTTACCCCTAGATTCCACCAGGTCCGTCTGCGCCGCGTTACGGCTGCGCCGCGGTTTTGGTCCGGCCTCCTCCGGCGTCATACCCTACCAGGCGCGTTTCAGAAGCATTTCAGAAGCGGAGCGTCTTGCCTGCCGGCTCGCAGTTTTTGTTGATTTGGGCATATTTCCTGGACAGGCTACTTTGTACAGACAAAGTTAATAATAACTGTAATATTCCATATCTTCCCTTCTAAAAGGGTTAAATTAATAATCTTTTTTCTCAAAGTAATGATAAACCTGTGAGTTGGATGTAGAAAAGTCAGAATCAATATAGATGTTTTTTATTTTAAAGAAAATTCAGATTTTACATAGTAAAAAACTGTAAATTATAGTGTCCGTCCAAAAATTATTTTTTACTTATAGTGAAAACCACCCTTGGATGATGAGTTAGTAGACTAAAAGCTTTAGGAATCCAAAGTACAACATATAATAAGTACCCTGTATCAAGATTGATGCAAAACAAGTGACATTTGACCTTTTTAGAGAGATTTAGCAAAAAGAAACCACTTCTGGGGTCATTTGGGTGGATTTTCCATATCTCTGGCCCCCCTTTCTCGATTTTGATGGTTGACACCTCTTTCTGACCGAGCCAATGGGAGTCCCCCACACACACACGTTGTGAAGAGAAAAGGTGAGGGCTTCGTGCATGTAATTTTCAATCAGAGTGAACCTAGCTTTGACATCTGGAAACGGAAAAGCAGTTTTAATGCTTATGGATTATCAGAAATCATTTCAAAGGGACACAGACACATTAGATTAACCTATGGATTAACTTCAGCAGCCTTTTTATCGTTGTAATGCCATTGAAGAACACTTTGGAGAGACTACAGAGCCAAGGTAAAAATGTTAGCATTTTTAGCTACCTAGCGTCACCTGTTTTGATGTCCGTTTTTGCTTATAACATCGCAAATACGTATAATTCAGTGGTAATGTCGGTGTCAATAGATTCTGTGTCACCTCACGATGTGAATCTATGTGTTGGATGTGGTGAAAAGATAAATAATAAGGTTTTGTGAGTGATTATCGGTGCAGTAAGGTGTTAGCATTTTTCGCTCGTTGCTAATTCAGAGGCTCAGTGTTAGCATTGTGGGTTTTCTTTTAAAAAAAAAAAAAAAATGATCAGTTAGATGAGTTTCTTCCCGTTACATGGATATAAAACATTCATAGTTTTATTAAATGAACATGCCCTCAGACACTGTTTCCTGCAAGATGTTGCGGCAGTGCCCCGGTACCGGGGTCTCTCGGGCTTAACAGGTTAATAAAGCCAGCAGGTAAATATGGGAAAATATGTCATACTGAATGTGCCTTACCTCAAAGATGTTTTCAGACGGAGTGACAGAGACTTTCTGGTCGTAGGTAATCTCGAGATACTTTGGAGTGGACAGGATTTGGCTGGGGAAAGGTCCACGAAAGGCCACGTCCTGCTCACCATACGCCACTGCCCTTGCTCCCAATGACAGTCTGAAGGCCACGTCCTGCTTGTCTCGAGGATGGACCCTGAAACAAAACAAAATCACACTAGATTCAGTTCAAGACATAAAAACAGCAGATAGCTGTTTCTAATAATAAATTAATAATAAATTGTATTTTTATAGCGCTTTTCTCTAACCCAAAGACGCTTTACATTTGGGGAAGGGTAGACAAACAAGGACAGGCAATAAAACAAAAACAAAACAAAAACAAAAAAACAAAACAGAAAAGCAGTCAGGAGGAAGTTGGTTGAGAGGGGGGGGGGGGGGGGGGCTTATGGATATACAGAGTTGAAGAGATGGGTTTTGAGGCGGGACTGGAACAGGGTGAGGGACTCAGACTCACGGAGGTCTTGGGGGAGGGAGTTCAAGAGCTTCGGGGCCGCCACAGAGTAGGCTCTGTCCCCAAAGCTCCGGAGTTTGGCCTTGGGGATGGAAAGCAAACCGGCTGAGTTGGATCTGAGGGACCGGGGTGGTTGGTAGAGGATGAGGAGGTCAGTGAGGTACGGGGGGGCCAGGTGGTGGAGGGCTTTGGAGGTGAGGACCAGGAGTTTGCATTGGATGCGGTGTGAAACGGGGAGCCAGTGGAGTTCTTTGAGGACCGGGGTGATATGATGCCAGGAGTTCTATTTGTAGTTTCTGTGTTTGTAATTTAGTACAAACACAGTACTACTTCAGTACATAAGAAAGTCTGTTGTTCTGAGAGTTATGCCTCAAATTCACTTTGTGGCAGCAAATCGTTTTTTGAATACGTTTCTAGGTATCTTAAAATTGTCCCAATGACTCGCTGGAAGGCAGATCAGAAACATATGGAAATGAGTGATTTGAGCTCCATTCTCCAGTTCAAACAATTGCAACATCAGCATTTTTTTTATTTTAGCATTAAGTCTAATCTTGATATGGTAGATTAAAAAAAACGGTACCACTTCTCTCAAAACAAGAGTTACAATGAATTCAGACATGTAACAATTGACCAAATCTACTGAAAGAGTTGTTGTTTATGTGTTTCCATTAGCTAATCACCAATAAACATTATATGACAATCACACAAAGGTATCACCAAATACTTGTAAAACCATATGCAAAACCCATGGTCACTAATCTGGGCGTCAAAATCGACAGTGCTTTTAAATGAGATAAACAGATAAACTCTGTGGTTCAGTCCAGTTTTTATCACTTGAGGCTCCTGTCCAAAATTAAACCGGTTTTATCCTTTTTAGACTTTGAGCGTGTAATTCATGCCTTTGTTTCTACGCGTCTAGATTACTGTAATGCACTTTATGCCGGCCTAAACAAGACCTCGCTGGCACGCCTGCAGCTGGTACAAAATGCTGCGGCTCGGCTGCTTACAGGAACACGCAAGCATGAGCACATCACACCAATTCTGGCTTCCCTCCACTGGCTTCCTGTCCATTTTAGAATTCATTTTAAGATTTTATTGTTTGTTTTTAAATCGCTTAATGGGCTGGCCCCTCAGTACATCTCCGACCTCCTAAAGGTGTACACCCCCTCAAGGGCTTTGAGGTCGGCTGATCAGCTGCTGCTGGTAAACTGACTATAACTTGACTACTTGTTAATCCTATTGTGGCATAAGCCGTTTTCTACAGGCACATTTTACCGGCGTATTTTTCATTATGATTCTACTTGTGATAGTCGGACATGATAACCTGTGCAGCCCATGTATTGATTCCATCCGATAGCTGCTATAATACAAAACAAAACGTCTGCCTGCTCTCCACAATGATCAATAACAGCGAACGGATGGTCAAAGTAAGGCACAAATAAACAGAATCACAAGAAGCCTGGTTAGTGTTGCCTGACTTTATAAAGTGTGTTTTTTTTTTACAAGTGTGTGGTTGCGTTCTAGTCACTTTGCTCAGCACTACTGCTTGTTACAACTTTTATTTGCCGTACTCGCCTTTAACTGTTAGCTCAGGTTAATCTCACACCCCTCCGACATAAGCGTGACGTATGCGGTGCTTGCTTTCTAGACGGAGAACTTTTTTGTGCTCCAAACAAACTGGATTCCGGAGCTTAGAGGCGGCTCCGCTGCGGTGTGAACAGGAAAAACCGGTGCTTTTCAAGCTCCAGCTCCGAACCAGTCCTGGAACCCTGTTGGTGTGAAAGGGGTATAAGGGACAATTTGCTGTGGTGTGATTTTGCTATTAAAACTAAAATCATTAATGGTACATACCTGGACAAATCCAAAAGGGAAATCGAGGGCCGTCTGCCCTCCTGAGCCCTGATGAAACGCCATCCTCCAGTCATCAATCATAGCAGGGAAGTAACAGTTGTACTTCTCTTGATGATAAATGGTGTTATCCTCACCTAAGAGCAACACAAGGTGTATACAGTACATGCAGGACATACATGAAAATCAGAAACCTTTGCAGCCCGTCCTACCTTGGTACCAGATGGCTCCTTTGATGGTCATGTTCAGCAGTGGGTGGATCATTGCATTCCACAACACTGAATTTACTTTGGGACTGAAAGAATTTAAGGTGCAATAAAGAGTCAACCGTGTAGTTAGTTAATATACAACATTAAAGCACTACTTAATGTGTGTTTGAAAATCGATCGGTATGACAAAACATAATATGATGATATAATACTGTATCTATATCTTTATTGAATCCCTGAAACGTACCCGTCATCAGGCTGCTGTAGTAGTCCACAGTGCTTTAGTGCTCTTGGAGAGGACCAGGCTTTGATAGTTGTGCCCCCATAACAGGACTCCACCAGTCCTATGGGGTACTGCAGCTTATCATACAAATCACGCCCAAAGAGCCAGCACACTGCAGAGAATCCTGACAGATCTGGAAAAAATCCTTTCTGTTAAGTAGTCAATCAGCAGAATGCAAAAAGCTGGTAAAACACACATAAACAAATACCAACATGGTTGATTACATCACTGTGCTGCAACCAAACAAAACACTAGCTTGGACTCATGAACATGTGACTAAGTATGCATGTTTCTATTTCAAAGCATTTAAGACAGGTTCAGTTGCAGTTAAGTAACCCACCTGAACCTTTAATCTGCAAACACAGATTTAAACCATTTTATGAATAAAATAAATATCTTAAACCCACATAATGGCGGCACAGACCAGGGAATTTGGATGTGAATCAAATCAGTTTGCTCAGTTTTGCTCTGGGCCAGGGATGCCATAAAAGTCCTCACATGAGGATAATGTGCTGCATTCTTGAGCTCCTTTGATGCATTGAAGATCTATTGGAGAATAAATACAAAATGAATAAATATATACATATCAATCAGAAAGTCCCATATATCTGGAATGCTTCATGGCCCTTATCTATTTGTGCAACCTTTTTTGTTGTAGTTTAGTTTTTTCTGACTTGTACTGCACATTTTTGAGAGATGGTCAGATCAGAAAGACACACAGGTGTTCACCTGGTTCAGCCTACCTGAGATAATTTCAACAACATGTTGCTCTGCCCTCCACACAGCCAAACGTCTCCAAACAGCACGTCTGTCAGAACAGCTGTGATGTTCTGCACGGCTGCTGTCACATTGTAGGGACCCTCCAGCTTCAACAGGGTCTAGAGTGACCCGCCAGGTACCTGTAAAGACAGTCAGTGACACTTAGGGCTCTTCTAATTTCCCAATGTTGTGTACGCTGGGCTCCTCATTCCTCTGGCACTTGACCCGGAAATCTATCTCAGCAATCCATCATGGATGAACCTCAATTTGTAAAATGCATCTCAAGGAGAGGGGAGTGAGGAGCTATGAGCGAGGATACACCAGTGAATCATCTAAAACCATGGACTCTAAAAATGTAAATGGTAAATCAACTGCATTTATAAAGTGCTTTTCCAGTCAGCATTAACACTCATTTACGGCCCGTCCACACGGCGTCGTGCGTCTAAGCTTCAACGCTTCTGCCCATTCACTTTGAATGGGGTGAAGTCATGCTTTGCCGAACTGCATTGTGGTTCCGTCGCTTCGCTTTGCTTGCGTTGTTCGATTCAAAAGTTGAGCAATGTTCAACTTTTGAAGCTTCAACGGAAGCGTCAGCCAATCAAATCATATGCCAGTACAAGCTCTAGCCAATCAAACCGCGTGCTTGTGTGTCCGGGGCGGGAGATTCATGTGATTAGTTGTTGGTCGAGTTTCAGACACGCCCACCGGCAAGCTTCAACGCACGCCGCGGTGTGGACGCTGCGTTATACTGAGGAAGAGGCTAAGATACAAGGTGCCACCTGCTCAGGGAGACTAACAATCACACACTGTTGGTGGAGCCAATCAGGAGCAAAGTCCCACGGACACTTTGACATGTTGCCTAGAGAAGCTGGGGATCAAACCACATTATTTAAGATGACCAAATGCACGTTCAAACTGTCTGAGCCTCAACGTTTGTTTAGCGCCTCACAAGGCACTGTTATCGTTAAATGAAGGCCAAGGGTTACATCCAAGTCAAATTTCACAATCGAGATACATGATTTTAAAAGTGCAAATAGCCGAGAGAGAGAGAGAGAGAGAGAGAGAGAGAGAGAGAGAGAGAGAGAGAGAGAGAGAGAGAGAGAGAGAGAGAGAGAGAGAGAGAGAGAGAGAGAGGGAGAGAGAGGGAGGGGGAACTGAAAGCTGTAAAAACTGGTTCTCCTGTCATGCTTCCCTCAGCTGACTTTGCTTTGGCCCCTTCAACACTACCCTTGATCACATTCATCTATCTACTCACCATATTGATAGTTTCAATTAACCTTAGTCTAATATGTGTATTATTGTTTGTACAGTAAGTAAATCCCTTACATGGACTCCCTCCTTGTCATGTAACCTGAGCCAGTTTTTGACAGAGACCAAATTATTATATGAAAGATGTTACCTTTCAACTCTTATTATATTAGAGCAACATCCCCTCCTTTAAACACCTGTTACTATTTCAACTACTTCAAAACTTCTAACTTCTATCTATATCAGGTCACAACCTAACTGTCTGAATAGTGGTTACAGCTCTGAGCATGCAGTCTCTTTCATATCACTCCCCAACAGGATCATTCAGTTAAGCCTGTTTGGTATAGCCTTTGGTTGTCAGCATAAAAACATCAGATCGGAAATAAAATGCTTTTACTCACCGTTTGTCACTGTGGCCTGCGAGATTTTCTGTTGGTGTTGTCCTGACAAGGTGAATTTCACCTGTGCCCCAAACTACAGCTCTCTCTGGAGACTTCTGCAGCACCATGTGGTCTTTATAGTAGGAAGCGAAGCGCAGGACCCCATCTACACACATACACATTAATATGCGATTGTAGAAACATTAAAATAACAATACATAAAGAAGGGATTTTGGAGATAGTGTAAGTAAGTGCAAATATGCCTTTTTGTTTCTGTTTGAAAATAATAACGCAGTAACATTTTGACACGGCAAGAAGTTGTAGTACAGGTTAATGCTGATCAAACGATACTCACCACAGTCGTGAATAGAAGCTGCAACCAGTATAAAAACACCACAAAGTCTTATCGCCATGACAAGATGATATCCAGGTTAACCAAAAGCTGCAAAGTCACGCAGACTGAGCTTACGTGATGAAGTATATCAAACAGTAAACTAACTCGTGACTTATCCAAACGAGTTTAGCGAGTCTTTTCAGTATGTCTGTTACATTCGTAAACAATATAGTGTAGCGCACTGCGGCCCTTCAAAATAAAAGCACACAAGCTCAAAAGTGCCAACCTTTTAATCCATTTTAAAAGTCTGTCTCACAACAATACAAACAAGCCTATAATGACTATCTGCAGTTGTTGTGTAGCCTGCTATATTTATAAAAGCAGCCGTTGGTCTGATTTAGGTTGCAGTGAGATAAGTAACCTTCAAGGTGATCCCTCTTCGCGTCGGGCTCCCAGACATTAAACGGCAAAACATATTCAGTTGCCAGTTACTTTGGCATTAGGGCAGGGATATCTAGATACTTTCCAAGGTTTGACATCATGTATTGTGCTACTACTTTTAAAGTACAAATTGTATTTGTTTAATGCTTAATGATGATCCCTCTGCATTGATTGTGATGCTTGTACTTTTTATCCTTTTGTCTTTCCTCAGGACAGGCACCGCAGCCCCCTAGCTCCTCTCACCAGCACCACCTGACCTCCCCCACCATCAACATGAAGCCCTCTACCTCCTATTTCAACTCCTGATCCTGGAGGGCAAGGTCATACATGGACGCAATCCTTGGAAAAAGTAGTTTTTATTTACAAAGCTAATATTGTTTTTTCCTCCCTTTTCCTTTATGGTTCAAACATGTAGGAAACCGAGGCATTCAGGAACTCAAGCCTTTGTTATCTATTGTTTTTCATCTTCGAGCTAGTCCCAGACAGCTGGGAACTTTACTGGGGATGTGTGCTAGCATAGTTGATGCTTATTTACTAAGTGTGTCATGTCATTTTTTCAATAATTTCCAGAATGAACATTTAAGACAAGTTGTGTGCTTAAAGTGCTAATAGCCACATTAACCCACCATAGCTGTTATGACAATTTCATTTTTGTTTGTAAAGTCGTAGTCAAAATAAACCTCTTTTTTTTTATTGGGAAATCTGCTGAATAAAAAAAGTATACAAGGTTTGGTAAATGGCACACTGTTGCATAAATATATAACTGTTGGTACCCTAAATGAAGTTGCAATTACACTTTTGTCTCCAGTTCAACAACAGTAGATTTTTTTTCTACCGTCTCTGTTTTACTGTCATATTTAATTTAATTTATAATTTAATTTATTTATTTATTTGACAGGGACAGTGCACATTGATTGACATTTCTGTAAATGCGCCAGAGTTAGCCAACAGGCTATTTTTCATCTGTAGTCCCTGGACAGATGTTGAAAGTCATCCTAAAAAAAACAAACAATGGCTTTGAATGCAACACACACACACACAAACTTAGTTGTTTATTTAACATTTATTTGTTCAAACATTTAGTCATAACGACTGATTTGTGTTGTACACTTCAGAGTTTTGTTCAAATAAAACCTTTGTCATGTTTTTCTACATACATCCAGCAATTTATTTTTGTACTTAACATTCAGTATTTAAATTTGAGACGGACTGATTCAAAAACATCTTTAAAATAAAGTAAACATATTTCCCAGCAGGCTGACAGGTACAACTGCCAAGCTTTCCAACCAAGACGTGATATAACAGCAATAATCTTGTTGCATTATTCTCCATTATTCTCTTTTGATGAGATGACGCATTATAGTTTGGACTCTTTCAGAAAAACTGACCACACTTGTACAATAAATGAGGATGAGCTTTGAATCCAGATGCCATCAATTGAAGACAGTATTTTTCACTTAGTAATGTGTTGGATCGGTCACTCCCCCTCTAAGACTAATCAATTAACTTATTGAATACTAAAAGTAATTGTCTAGTCATAAACCATTAAAAAAAACCTCCTTCCCTCTAAAATAATCCTTGATATCTGTAAAAAAAACTAAGAATATAAGACAAGTTGAGCTTTTCTCAGTAACAATCCACTATCGTGTCATATTGTTTTCAGCTTCTTACTTTCACAGTCTCAATCATCCTGTTTAAAGTCATTCATTTGCCTAATTCCACTTCATTGAGAGATCAGCTTATGTTGACTTGAACAAAGGCAGACTGTTCATTATTTGATCTTCTTACAGTTCATTGATTACTTTGGCTGGTAAAAGGAGGAGCAGGTAAAATCTTACTGGCGCTGTAGATTGGACAGGCTTTAAAGTCACAGGGCCAGTCTCTCCATGCATACCGCAGAGCAGATACTTGTTCAGTGGGAGAACACAAGCTGGTAGATAACTGGACAGTGGTCGGACCCCACTCCATGATGGGAGCTGGAACCCAATGAGCCTTAGGATCCCATGGAGACTCACTTTCTGAGCAGCAGATCTTAATAGAAGAGAATTGTATTTATTTAGCAAGAAATTATCGGAGCAAACATAGGTTGCGGTCGGATAATCCAAAAATCAGCTCCTAACGTCTAACCCTATCGTCTATTCCTTGACCTCTGAGTGAAACGTCATGGGGTTAAGGGATAGTGGATAGGAGAATTCAAAAGGATTTAGGAGAAGAGACTGCGGTACTTTAGAGAATTCGACTGCACTTTCACTATCCGACGTGTTTATGATGCGCCAGCGGACGTCATAAATGTGCGTCTGCTGCTGCTGCTGTGGGGAAACTATGGAAACTACAGTTTTCTATACAGCGGACTACAACATGGATGTATAATAAGAACGAGGGACTACTCATCTAGAGACTCTGCACCGTGCTCTGATGCTGTTGTTTTATGCTTTATGAACGTGGACAACAGAGAAACATATTCTTCATGACCAAAGTTGGAATTGAAATAAAAAAGGAAAGTGAAACTTATGCTCGTCACCCTCTCCCTCCGGTCCACATTAATACAAATGATCACAATACGTATGATTGTATGAAAAGATCTTATAATAAATACAAATGTAGGCTATTTATTATAAACGTTAGTCCTTAACATCTATCACTGTGTATATCACCATTCAAACATCTTTTAAAAGTTGAACAAACCCCACACAGCTCAGACTGTAAAATGTTAACTTTCATGATATAATTTTCACGGTCATAATCGGTTGTTTCCGTGAACTGCCGACTGTTGTGTGACGGCAAATGCTGCGGCTGCAAGGCATTGTGGGGCAGCATGTTCTCCTCTCCTTTCGGTGAGGGAGGTCCAGTGGTTCCTAAGCTAAAGGAGGTTATAAAGGAAGTTTGAAACCTCCTTTCCTATCATCTAGAGAATTCGAACGGCACTTATCATGGCTGCCACTGAGGGACTTCCGGGTCATTTCACTCCGTTAGGAAGGTTCCTAAGCTAAATGGACTATTCGACTTCAGCCATAAACTCTGTCTTATGGTAAAGTTATTCTTTTTGTTAGCATATTTAATAAAGCCAGCAGGTAAATATGGGAAAGATGTCATACTGAATGTGCCGCTGCCAGCCTTACCTCAAATATGTTTTCAGACGGAGTGACAGAGACTTTCTGGTCGTAGGTAATCTCGAGATACTTTGGAGTGGACAGGATTTGGCTGGGGAAAGGTCCACGAAAGGCCACGTCCTGCTCACCATACGCCACTGCCCTTGCTCCCAATGACAGTCTGAAGGCCACGTCCTGCTTGTCTCTGGGATGGATCCTGAAATAAAACAAAATCACACAAGATTCAGGTCAAGACATAAAAACAGCAGATAGCTGTTTCTGTGTTTGTAATTTAGTACAAACACAGTACTACTTCAGTACATAAGAAAGTCTGTTGTTGTGAGAGTTATGCCTAGGATTCACTTTGTGGCAGCAAATCGTTTTTTGGATTTGTTTCTAGGTATCTTAAAATTGTCCTAATGACTCGCTGGAAGGCAGATCAGAAACATATGGAAATGAGTGATTTGAGCTCCATTCTCCAGTTCAAACAATTGCAACATCAGCATTTTTTTATTTTAGCATTTAAGTCTGATCTGATATCGTAGATTAAAAAAAACACTGACCTTCGGTACCACTTCTCTCAAAACAAGAGTTGGGTTACATTGAATTGTGACATGTAAGAATTGACCAAATCTACTGAAAGAGTTGTTGTTTATGTGTTTCCATTAGCTAATCACCTATCAACATTATATGCCAATCACACAAAGGTATCACCAAATACTTGTAAAAAGCAAGGTAATTGTCCCTGGTGTTGTACAGGGTCATATGCTATGAGTTCATGTTAATACAATCCTTACGAGCCAAAGGGAGATTTTTCATCTGGCAAATCCATAGCCACAGCCATGAAAGTTTTCTGCATTCGGGCATTTGGGACAAAGCCGGTATCTGCTGTCTGGTGCCAGCGGATATTCGGATAGGCGTCACTTTTGGAATTTTTTTCCCAGGTACTCAGCTGGAAGTGCAAATAAATCATGGATTAGTGTTACCCCTGAAACTATAAAACGCCAGGTTTTTTATTTTATTTAACAAAAACAAAGGCAAATAAACAATGTTTCCCTCAGTATTCATTCAGCAGTAAAGTACTCCTGCGAGTCCATGAACATGACAAGTGCCTGTGGTTACTTCACTTTTATGGGCGCCGCTACTCAAATGTCACAGTATCATAATATCCATTGAAAACAAATGCCGGTGCCGGACACAAACACACAAGCATACATACATCGGATAGGCGTCACTAGTTGAGTTTTTTTTTTAAGGTAGACAGCTGCAAGTACAAATAAATTATAGTTTGGATGTACAAAATAAAACAATTATAAAAATAAATCCTGATAGAGAGCTGAGAATGAGGCTTGATTTTCAAAATAGAAGCCCAAAGAAGCAACGAAACAGCTAATGCTTTCAATACTTAGCATTTCACATTAGTGTTCTGTGACCAAGTTAAACCACAGTCATAATTAGGGTCTCAGACCTAGGTCGGCGAAGACCCTATTGAAATCGGTCGCGCAGCGACCGATAAACCTTTGACCCCCGCAACATATGTGAAAACTCACCAAATTTTGCATGCGCGTCAGAAGTGGTGCAACTTGAGATGTGTAATTGGTTCCGGAACTTTGCATCAAAAATTGCGTAGGCCACGCCCACTTCCATTTTTAACGTAAACTCCCCCCACTTTAACTTTCACGTAAACGAACGAAACTCGCTACGCATATCTAGGGTGCGGACACAAACCAAAAAGCCTCTTGGAGGGGTATAAAATAACGTACAGGAAGCCGGCCATTTTGAAAACGCGATTTATCGCGTTTTTCGTCCTCCGCACGAAATCTATCTTCTCCCAGGGACTTTATCCGTACGACTCGAAATTCGTCGGGTAGCGTCTCGGCAATTCAAAGTTATCACGGAAGTTTTTTTCTTTCGCGCGGCGTAGCCGTGATTTGGCGCCAAAGTTTGTGTTCGCTCGATGCTAGGCCATCCCTCGCCATGGAACACGATGATGTCATAACGCCAACTGACATACTCAGAACGCCACCAAACTTCACATGATGGTTAACACTGCGGCCCTGAACAGCTCTACGTCAAATTTGATGTTACTTAATATGGCGTTACCATGGCAACGAATCCCTCGCCATAAAACACGGTGTCGCTGTAACTCCAATGGACACGGTCCCATCGTCCCCCAATCTTCACTTTTATATCACCGGTCCATGCCTCAACAGCTCTACGTGAAATCTGAGATCTCACCGTATGCCGTTTCCATGGCAACGCATCCCTCGCCATAAAACACAATGTTGTCTTAAGTCAATGAAAGATGGTCCAAACTGCACCACACTTCATATGATGGCTACTAGTCCGGCCCTCAACAACTCTACGCCAATTATGGGATGTCATCATATGCCGTTGCCATGGCAACGCATCCCTCGCCATAAAACACAATATTGTCTTAAGTCAATGGAAAATGGTCCAAACTACACCAGACTTCAGATGACAGTTAATGGTCCGGCCCTCAACACCTCAATATGACAATAGTGAGTTTTCCTCAAAAGCTGTTGCCATGGCAACGCATCCTTCGCCATAAAACACAATGTTGTCTTAAGTAATGGAAAATGGTCCAAACTACACCAGACTTCAGATGACAGTTAATGGTCCGGCCCTCAACACCTCAATATGACAATAGTGAGTTTTCCTCAAAAGCTGTTACCATGGCAACGCATCCCTCGCGGTTAAGCACGATATTTCTATAAGTCCTGTGTAAATGGTAAAAAAGTGTTCACATTTCACATGTGTTCTAACAGTCAAGCCCTCGACACATATGTGTCAGTTTTGAGATTCCGTCAAATGTCGTTGCTATGGTAACAAAATGGTCGCCGTGAAACACGGTTTTCTCATAACTCCAGTTAACATGCTCTAAACGGCCCAAAACTTCACAGGTTTGATAACGATGCAGCCCTCAACACATCTAGGCGTATTATGTGGTGTCATCAAATGCCGTTGCCATGGCGACAGATCACTCGCCATCAAACACAATGTTTATGATACTGCTACAACTCGTACGTATGTATGTACGTTGTCCGATCGGCCTGAAACTTCCCACGTTTGCCAACGGCCGAGTCCTCGAGACACCTACAAACACACCTCGACGTGCGGACAGCCTGCGGAGCGTCGAAGACCCGCTCAACGCTGCTTGCAGCTTTAATTTAGTTTGAACTCAATTCTGTCATTCTCCGTTTTGGAAAAGGCAATAAAGTAAAAGGCTAACAAACTTAGAAAGTGACTTATTTTATGTTTAAATAAGTGCAGGGCTATGGATTTATGTACATTTTTCAGTGGTTCCTGTGGATTTTGAGAAATGAACAATACATATTTGGGGGAAAAAAAGCATCTAAGGGACAATTTGCTGTAGTGTGATTTTGCTATTAAAACTAAAATCATTAATGTTACATACCTGGACAAATCCAAAAGGGAAATCGAGAGCAGTCTGCCCTCCTGAGCCCTGATGAAACGCCATCCTCCAGTCATCAATCATAGCAGGGAAGGAACAGTTGTACTTCTCTTGATGATAAATGGTGTTAGCCTCACCTAAGAGCAACCAACACAAGGCGTATACAGTACATGCAGGACATACATGAAAATCAGAAACCTTTGCAGCCCGTCCTACCTTGGTACCAGATGGCTCCTTTGATGGTCATGTTCAGCAGTGGGTGGATCATTGCATTCCACAACACTGAATTTACTTTGGGACTGAAAGAATTTAAGGTGCAATAAAGAGTCAACCTTGTAGTTAGTTAATATACAACATTAAAGCACTACTTAATGTGTGTTTGGAAATCGATCGGTATGACAAAACATAATATGATGATATAATACTGTATCTATATCTTTATTGAAACCCTGAAACTTACCCGGCAAAAGGCTGCTGTAGTAGTCCACAGTGCTGTAGTGCTCTTGGAGAACACCAGGGTTCGATAGGTGTGCCCCCCCAACAGGACTCCACCAGTCCTATGGGGTACTGCAGCTTATCATACAAATCACGCCCAAAGAGCCAGCACACTGCAGAGAAACCGGACAGATCTGGAAAAAATCTTGCCTGTTAAGTAGTCAATCAGCAGAGTGATAAAACACACATAAACAAATACCAACATGGTTGATTACATCGCTGTGCTGCAATCAAACAAAACACTAGCTTGGACTCATGAACATGTGACTGAGTATGCATGTTTCTATTTCAAAGCATTTAAGACAGGTTCAGTTGCAGTTAAGTAACCCACCTAAACCTTTAATCTGCAAACACAGATTTAAACCATTTTATGAATAAAATAAATATCTTAAACCCACATAATGGCGGCACAGACCAGGGAATTTGGACGTCAATCAAATCAGTTTGCTCAGTTTTGTTCTGGGCCAGGGTTGCCATAAAAGTCCTCACATGAGGATAATATGCTGCACGCTTCAGCTCTTTTGATGCATTGAAGACCTATTGGAGAATAAATACAAAATGAATAAATATATACATATCAAACAGAATGTCCCATACATCTGGAATGCTTCATGGCACCAATATATTTGTGCAACATTTTTTGTGTAGTTTAGGCTTTTCTGACTTGTACTGCACATTTTTGAGAGATGGTCAGCTCAGAAAAACACACAGGTGTTCACCTGGTTCGGCCTACCTTAAATACTTCAAACAACATGTTGCTCTGTCCTCCACACAGCCAAATGTCTCCAAACAGCACGTCTGTCAGAACAGCTGTGATGTTCTGCACGGCTGCCGTCACATTGTAGGGACCTCCAGCTTCAACAGGGTCTAGAGTGACCCGCCAGGTACCTGTAAAGACAGTCAGTGACACTAAGGGCTCTTCTAATTTCCCAATGTTGTGCACGCTGGGCTCCTCATTCCTCTGGCCTTTCATTCTTTGTCATTTTTACCAAGCATTCATTGAGAGCCTTATTTGTTTTTCTTTTATCTGCTGGTTCCATAGCCTTACACTGAAAGACAGGAACAGCCTGAACAGCATTGTTAAAACCTGCTCTAAGATCATCGGCGTGAAACAGAGAGACATAATTTCCTTCTGTAACCAACAGATTCTGCAGAAAGCAGAGAGCATTCTGAACTCTCCAGGTCATGTACTTTCACATGAATTTCGTCTGTTGCCATCAGGGCGAAGATATGCTCTACCTGCTCTAAAGACTAATCGCTTTTCAAAATCATTCATCCCTTCTGCACTCAAACTTTTAAATTCTTGAAAGGCTTTTAACTTGATTATTTATTTATTTATTATTGTGATGCTATGAACTATTTATAGTGTAAATTGGAATGATCCACATCTGTGCTCCCGGGTGTGTCTGTGTGTTTTCTTCCTGTATGTTCCTGCCTGTGTACATAACATAAGCTGCTGCTCATAACCAATTGCCCCTTGCGGGATTAATAAAGTTGTTGATTGATTGATTGATTGACCCGGAAATCTATCTCAGCAATCCATCTTGGATGAACCTCAATTTGTAAAATGCATCTCAAGGAGAGGGGAGTGAGGAGCTATGAGCGAGGATACACCAGTGAATCATCTAAAACCATGGACTCTATGTAAATCAACTGCATTTATAAAGTGCTTTTCCAGTCAGCATTAACACTCACTTATACTGAGGAAGAGGCTAAGATACAAGGTGCCACCTGCTCAGGGAGACTAACAATCACACACTGTTGGAGGACCCAATCAGGAGCAAAGTCCCACGGACACTTTGACATGTTGCCTAGAGAAGCTGGGGATCAAACCACATTATTTAAGATGACCAAATGCACATTCAAACTTTCTGAGCTTTAACGTTTGTTTAGCGCCTCACAAGGCTCTGTTATCGTTAAATGAAGGCCAAGGGTTACATCCAAGTCAAATGTTACAATCGAGACACATGATTTTAAAAGTGCAAATAGCAGAGAGAGAGAGAGAGAGAGAGAGAGAGATAGGGGGAGAGAGAGAGGGAGGGGGAACTGAAAGCTGTAAAAACTGGTTCTCCTGTCATGCTTCCCTCAGCTGACTTTGCTTTGGCCCCTTCAACACTACCCTTGATCACATTCATCTATCTACTCACCATATTGATAGTTTCAATTAACCTTAGTCTAATATGTGTATTATTGTATTGTAAGTAAATCCCTTACATGGACTCCCTCCTTGTCATGTAACCTGAGCCAGTTTTTGACAGAGACCAAATTATTATATGAAAGCTGTTACCTTTTGACTCTTATTAACCACCACAGACCTGTGACAGTGACACCTCTCTGCTGAACAACCTCAATGGCTTCTTCGCAAGCTTTGAAGCACAGAACAGCATACCTGCGCAGAAAACAACGCCTCCACCCAACGACCAGGCTATCTGTCTGTCCCCAGGAAGTGTGAGGAGCGTTAAGGATTAACGCGCTGACAACATTCCTGGTCGTGTGCTAAAGGACTGCGCCGCTGAGCTCACAGATTTCCTCACAGACATCTTCAACATCTCCCTGAGCAAGGCTGTTGTTCCCTCGTGCTTCAAGGTAACCACCATCATACCTGTGCCGAAGACGTCATCACCTTCCTGCTTCAATGACTACTGCCCAGTAGCGCTGACTTCCACCATCATGAAGTGCTTTGAGCGGCTAGTCATGAAGCAAATCAAATCCACCCTCCCCCCTCACTGGACCCGTTTCAGTTTGCATAGCGAGCAAAGCGGTCCACTGAGGATGCAATCTCCTCTGATCTCCACCCAGCCCTCACCCACCTGGACACTAAAAACTCTTATGTTAGGATGCTGTTCATAGACTTTAGCTCAGTGTTCAACACTATCATCTCCCAGAAGCTGGTTTGCAAGCTAATAAACCTGGGCCTCAGCCCCTTTCTCTGCAAATGGCTGCTGGACTTCCTCACTGCCAGACCCCAATCTGTATGGGTCGGCAACAACACATCAGGCACCATCACACTGAGTACGGGGTTCCCCCAAGGATGTGTGCTCAGCCCCCTGCTCTTCACCCTGCTGACCCACGACTGCAGTGCACACCCACCCACAGCTTCAACCACTTCATCAAGTTTGCGGATGACACAACCGTGGGTTTCATCAGCAACAACGACGAAACCCACTACAGGAGAGACGAGAGAGGTGAACCAGCTGGCCACGTGGTGCATAGACAACAATCTCTTTCTCAATGTGGAGAAAGCAAAGGAGATTGTTGTCGTCTTCAGGAGAACCTACACCAAACACCCCCAACCATTGACCACCATTGATTGGTGGTGCTGCTGTGGAGCAGGTGAGCTGTACCAAATGATTGGGGGTGCACATCAACAAGGACCTCTCCTGGAGTAACAACACCACGTCAATCACCAAGAAAGCCCAGCAGCTTCTCTACTTCGTCCGCAAACTGAAGAGAACAGGAGTTTCCCCCCCCCCCCCCCCAATCATGCTCTCCTTCTACCGAGGCGCCATCGAGAGCATCCTTAGCAGCTGCATCACGGTGTAGTTCGGAAGCTGCACAGCATCGAACCGCAAGACCCTGCAGTGCGTCGTGAACACTGCTGAGAGGGTCATCGGTGCCTCACTCCCATCACTCCTGGACCTCTACAACACCCGCCTCACCCGCAGAGGACTCAGCATTGTGGGTGACCCCACCCATCCCTCCAACTGACACTTCACCCTCCTGCCTTCAGGGAGGAGGTTCTGCAGCCTGAGGTCGAGCACAACCAGACTAAAGAACAGTTTTTTTACACCAGGCTGTCAGGAGGCTGAACTATCTCCCCTCCCTCCACTCTCTCCCCTGCCCCCACTGGACTATAACTCCCCACACACACTCAGACACTCAAATCCAGCACAAGACACTTTTTATTACGCTGCTATGGACACTCTGCAATAAATGCACATTCTATGGACAATTTTGCACCAACGATATTGTTATTGAAGTGACTGTTATTTTGTATTATTTTGTATATATTGATTGTTGTGTTTTTTATCTTAATGTGTGCATATGTGTAAATGTGTCTGTTGATTGTGTATATAGGATATACATATTTTATACATATTTTTATACATATCTGTATATTGTATAATTTTATATTCGAGATTGTTGGAAACGTCTGTAAACACAAACTGAGTAAGATAGACATTAAAGTTTACTTTGACTTTTGACTTATTATATTAAAGCAACATCCCCTCCTTTAAACACAGGTCTGTTATTATTTCAACTACTTCAAAACTTCTACTATATCAGGTCACAACCTAACTGTCTGAATAGTGGTTACAGCTCTGAGCATGCAGTCTCTTTCACATCCCAACAGGATCAATCAGTTAAGCCTGTTTGGTAGCCTTTGGTTGTCAGCATAAAAACATCAGATAGGAAATAAAATGCTTTTACTAACCGTTTGTCACTGTAGCCTGTGAGATTTTCTGTTGGTGTTGTCCTGACAAGGTGAATTTCACCTGTGCCCCCTCGGATCCATAGCCCCAAACTACAGCTCTCTCTGGAGACTTCTGCAGCACCATGTGGTCTTGATAGTAGGAGGCGAAGCGCAGGACCCCATCTACACACATATACATCAATATGCGAGTGCAGAATAATTAAAATAACAATACATAAAGAAGGGATTTTGGAGATAGTGTAAGTAAGTGCAAATAGGCCTATGCCTTTTTGTTTCTGTTTGAAAATAATAACGCAGTAACATTTTGACACGGCCAGAAGTTGTAGTAGCCGACAGGTTAATGCTGACCAAACGATACTAACCACAGTTGTGAATAGAAGCTGCAACCAGTATAAAAACACTACAAAGTATTATCGCCATGACAACAAGATGATTTCCAGGTTAACCAATAGCTGCAAAGTCACGCAGATTGAGTTTACGTGATGAAGTATCAAACGGTAAACTAACTCGTGATTTATCCAAACGAGTTTAGCGAGTTGTTTCCGTATGCCTGTTACATCCGTAAACAATATAGTGTAGCGCACTGTGGAACTTCAAAATAAAAGCACACAAGCTCAAAAGTGCCAACATTTTAATCCTCTTTAAAAATATTGAAGGGAATTTGAAATCTGTGTCACAACAATACGAACAAGCCTATGCCTAATGACTGTCTGCAGTTGTTGTGTAGCCTGCTATATTTGTAAAAGCAGCCGTTGGTCTGATTTAGGTTGCAGTGAGATAATTACATGTAATCGCCAAAGATGATGCATGCTGCCTTCTAGTGGCCAACACAACACTAAATAAAGGAATCAGTAAAAAAGTGCCAAAAGAGCTTCATTACCCAAATAATTTAAATTGGATTTTACAATCATAGTGAAGAAGTTTTTGTTGCTTTTTTTGTGTCAATGTTTGTGACAGTCATCTTGACGAGTTGAGATGTTTACAATTGGATTATTAGGCATAGGCTTGTTCGTATTGTTGTGAGTGACACAGTTTTAAAATTCCCTTCAATATTTTTAAAGAGGATTAAAATGTTGGCACTTTTGAGCTTGTGTGCTTTTATTTTGAAGGTCCGCAGTGCGCTAGACTATATTTTTACGGATGTAACAGGCATACTGAAAACAACTCGTTTGGATAAATCACGAGTTAGTTTACCGTTTGATACTTCATCACGTAAACTCAATCTGCGTGACTTTGCAGCTTTTGGTTAACCTGGAAATCATCTTGTTGTCATGGCGATAAGACTTTGTAGTGTTTTTATACTGGTTGCAGCTTCTATTTACTTACCTTCAAAACCTCTCTTAAAGAGCACCTTCGGGGGAGAGCATTGCAAAACTGGCCCCGGTAATGGTACAAATCTCAACCCATCTATGTATATACTCGCATTTTAGACTCTGTTACTAACTGTATATCTGTAGACTTGGTATGTCTTAAATGTCCGGTTAGGATGTATTAGAATGAAATCTAAAATGAAAATTGTAAATAAGCCATCTGTATGTAAAAAACCACCTGTATGTAAATTGTAAATAAGCAGTGGCGTTTTCTCCCGGAGGCCAAGGGAAGCCAGGCTTCCCTTGTTTTTTCGGATTGTAGTTATAATTTAAATAAATAAATAAAAACACTTTGTTTTGTTTCGATAATTCTCCTTTGCTGTGTGTTGCTGCCGGTGTTACCGAACAAATTGTGGGCCGAACAACTGGTGATATTCTATTATTTTAGACAGATGTATCGGGGCGTGTACCTTGAGGACCCGTGTTGACTCACCGGGAAAGAACCATCTCGATCGCTTCGCCTGTCGTTCAAATTCATGTTTTGGTATATCTTACTGAATAGGAACACTTTGATGCACGTTCAGTACGCGTATGTGAGGTTGTGGGTGAGAGGCTGATATCGTGAAGCTCACAGTGAGGACTAGAAAATGACAAAGTAGGTGACTGTGGGGATGCCTGTGCAAAACATTGCGAACTTTAATAAATCATGTTAACAATATATTTTTGTCAGAGTTTCAGTTGTACATCGTTCTTAATGTGATGTATAGTAGCTTTGATAGCTGTACATACCTTCAGACCGCCTCTATGTGAAACACACGTTGTTTACTCACAGCCCGAAAGCAGACTGGAGATGACTGTCATCTGTGGCAAGCTGTGATCCGCTCCGAATAAATGGTGATACAACTTCTCCAGCCATTCTCAAGCGATCAATGTTTTTATTAAATACCTATGCCTGTATCCCTCTCATCACAACACAACTCTACACTGTGCATCAGAGATGTGTATTACAATTGAATGTAAATTGTGAATTTGAAAATATAGCAACATCAAACTAACAACTATGCACTGGGTTGTTTGTGAAACAGTAGCCTACCATTGATTGATTGATTGAAAAGTTTATTAACAGCTTGTATATTGGGTACAGTACAGTACAGCTCAAAACATACAATTGTTAAGGGGATGCAGACCAGAGAAAGACTTTCGTCTTGTTTACATCAGGGTCCCCCATTTCCAATTCATCATATCATTTAAGACATATAAGACATATTTGACATACAGATGGCTTATTTACAATTTACATACAGGTGGTTTTTTACATACAGATGGCTTATTTACAATTTTCATTTTAGATTTCGTTCTAATACATCCTAACCGGACATTTAAGACATACCAAGTCTACAGATATACAGTTAGTAACAGAGTCTAAAATGCGAGTATATACATAGATGGGGGGGGGAAGCTGTCCATTGTACGACAGGTTGAGATTTGTACCATTACCGGGGCCAGTTTTGCAATGCTTTCCCCCGAAGGTGCTCTTTAAGAGAGGTTTTGAAGGTAAGTATAGTTTTACTTTCCTTTACAGTTGTGGGAAGAGCGTTCCACCTTGATGTGGCATAATTGCGAAACGTGTATTCCCCTTTTTTTGTGCCAAATCTGGGTTTTACATGATTTGTGGAGCTCCCTCTGGTGTTATGATCATGGTATTCCTTGACCTTTGGGAAGAATTTTGACATGTACATGGGTACCATAGAGGTGTAGTGGATCTTGTAGACCAGGCCCATTGCAAGTAGCTGTACTCTGTCGTCTACTCTAAGCCATCCTAGGTTGTCAAAGTGGGCAGAGGTGAGGTGGGTTCTAGATGAAAGGTCAAGCAGTAGTCTGACCAGTTTATTTTGCGATGTTTGAAGTTTTATTTTTAGCGCCTTGGAGGTGCTATGGTACCATGACGTGCAAGCATAGTCATAGTACCCTTGAATGAGTGCTCCTGCCAGAGTTTTCAGGGTGTTTTTGTTTACCAGAGAGGAGATCCGGTATAGGAATCTAGTTCTTTGATTGACTTTTTTTATTACATTGGATGCCATTTTGTCACAGGAGAGGTTTGCCTCAAGAATAGATCCTAGGTATGTAATTTCCTTCTTACTTGTGACAATAATGTCACCCACTGCAACTGAGAAGTCGTCGGATTTGCTGAGATTATGTTTCGAACCGAAGAGAATGGACTCTGTTTTACCCAGGTGTAATGATAATTTATTATCGGCGAGCCAGGTGCAGATTCTGCCGAGCTCGGAGCTGAGGGTTTTTTCAACCTGCAATCTGCTCCTGTCAGAGACCAGCAGGGCTGAGTCGTCCGCGAACAGGAACAAGTTGCAGTCACATGCTGATGACATGTCATTTGCATAAATTAGGAACAGTAACGGACCTAATATGCTTCCTTGTGGAACACCACAGCTCACTGGGAGGGGGGGGGACAGAGTACCGTTTACCTCCACCATCTGTTCTCTCCCCTCCAGGTAGGATTGCATCCAGCTCACCGATAGTTTATCAAAACCAATTGCTTTTAGCTTGTCAATCAGAATGGGGTGATTGACAGTGTCGAAAGCCTTTTGTTTTCCATCGAAGATGTTTGCAGACTTCACATGTTATTGCTGTGAAAATAACAAATTCAATCCATAGAATACAGTTGTTCTATCACTTCTAGCCTATACGTGTAAGCAATTATGTCTACCTTCCCACTCTTGCAGCATTAACACCCAATGATATCAAATGCTTAACTGCCTAGGTTGCAACATTCACTTTTGGTTCCCAAATGTCAGTTTAGTTTACATACATTTTAACCTACATTACTGTTATAGAAGGAAAAACAACAGTGAAAGTTATATTTCAGAAACAACTTTATTGGAAAAGTGTTTTCAACATTCAAACAGTTATTGTCATTACATGACATTGCATTTAGCTGACGCTTTTATCCAAAGCGACTTACAATAAGTGCATTCCACCAGGAAGATACAAACTTGAAAAAAACAGAATCATATAAGAACATCAGGTTTCATAGAGCCAAACCATTTGAAGTGCTACTCAACTGGCTTTAGATAAGCCAGTCCTTTGTTAGTATATAAGTGCTTTGTTAGTAATTCTATTGCTCGAAGTGGAGTCGAAAGAGATGAGTTTTCAGTCTGCACCGGAAGATGTGTAGGTTTTCTGCTGTCCTGATTTCAATGGGGAGCTCATTCCACCATTTGCCATGTCAGTATGTTAGATTCCATTCCAAATGATATATAACAGTGGGTGTACAGGTGTGTATGTACATTTCTTTAAATATATATGAAAGTTGCCTTTGAAAACGTAATACTTTAGCTTTAAGTGTGCGATGACAACAGCCTGGACCACATGTGAACATAAACAAGGAATTTGTGTGTTTGTGCGTATGTGTGTTTGTGTGTGTGTGTTTGTGTGTGTGTGTGTGTTTATAAAGTGCAGGCTTTGCAGTAATAGTCCAGTGCGATAGAGGGCTGCCCAACACATGTTGTGTGGTACCATTTGGTACAGCCGGTGCACTCAATCTGAAAAGAAACAGAAATAATACATGTTAGAATATGGACAAACACTTTTTAGGTTAACATCACTCATCCAGAGTACGCTTTACAATCAACTAACCAAACATTTAACTAAACAAGCAATGTATAGGTTGGGATCTTATCTGTGGTCCTTTCTGTGTAGATTCCGTGCTCACAAGTTCCTTCCACTGCACCAGTGTTCTCCCATAGTGCAAAGACATGCAAGTTTGGTGAATTAAAGTAAAAATGTTCAATATCTGTTATAGTGTTCACCCGGTGATGTTGAGGTAACCTATCCAGGGTGTATCCCATTCTTCCAGCCAAATGTTGGTCAGGAAATTAATACAACGTCTTACCCATTGGTCACCCTTGGTCAACCCTGAACTAAGTTCCCCACAGGCCCGACACAGCTGGGATAGGTCATCTGTAAAAAAACAATACCAGCATAAATGTAGTGAAATGCCAAAAAATACAGGATATTTCGGTTTCTCTGGTTTAGTCCTGTATACCGGAATTGTTCACCAGGGACATTGCCATGTCGAACCTCATTGAGGCCACACCCGCCTGGTCAACAGGTACTGGACCTTCTGGTCCAATAGTATTTGCTCTGCAAACTAACAAAGTCTGAGATAAGTATCTTCGTATTATTGTTTAATGACAGATGGTTATATATACACATTCATAAATG